CATCTAGCTGTATCGAACGGGTGTGAAGATGTGGTTTAATTAGCCTGCTCTGGTGGACCCCATTGTTCCCAGATTCCGTAATAAAGCCATGCAATACGCAGAGGGTCTCTGCTTTTCAGAAGCTGCGTGAGCAGGGAATTGCCAGCTCTCTGCTGACTTGCCAGCCAGCCACACATGGGGCAGCATCTAGGCCTTTGGGACTGGCTGCTGGCCAGCTGCGGTGGGTGGGAGCTGGGCCCCTGGCCCCGAGTGTCGGAGATCTGCTGAGGAATCACTGCCGACCAGAGAAGAGGACCCTACTGGAGCCAAGGACAGAGGCCTTTCACCCCGCAAACCATCTTTCTATCATGCAGAGGCGGGTCAGCTCCAGGTTAGCATCCAAGATGAATGACATTCTGTCCTGCAAAGTGGAGGGAGCTGCTTCCTTGGCTCCAGTCTGGCTCTCTGTTGTGTGGAGTGGAGGAGCTACCTCCTCGGCTCCATACTCTCACGTCTGCTTTCTTTCTGGCATTGCATGACCGTTTGTTTCCTTCCTGCATCCCGGACGTCCAGCTCAACATAGCTCCAGGTGTAAATCAGCCTGCTTTCCCTATGGAGTGCTCCTGGACAACACTGGCCTCACCATGTCACCCTGGAGTTTCCCTGACACTCTCCGTGTGTGTGTGTGTGTGTGTGTGTGTCCCAGTATATTGTTGCTGAGAAAATCCATTAAAGAAAGGAAACAGGAATTCAAAGGATGACAGATGATGTTGTCTCTGCTAATAAAAATCTGGTTTGATATCCCCGTGAGCACTCATGCTGCCCAGAGTTGCCTGCCAAAGAGCCTTTGAGCTGGAGAGCCCTGCAAACTTGAAAGGAAGACCTCTTGCTTTGAAGCACTAAGCCAAGTCTCCCTCGTACTTTCATCCAGTCCAGCAGCCTGTATGTTCCCTAGACACTGTTCCTCTTGGCCAGAGATAATGGCAGTTGTAGTCCACACTTCCTGGGGACCCTAAATTGGGAAGCTTTTAAATCTAAGATGGGAGTTCCCAGGTCAGCATTCGGTGCAACAGAAAGCAGGATTCTGCAGTTTCTTTTTAATAACTGCAGGAAGAAGGGACGTTTGGGCAGATGTTGCTTCCCCGATCTCTAGAGCACAGGGATGTACAGAGCTCCCATCTGTTGAAAATTCCCCTTTCAGCTAACTAGGAGAAAAATATCAGGAATCGAGGCTATTATGATGTACCTCTGGTATCCAAGGCAACTTGCTTTGCTTTGTTGAGGAACATGTGGAAGATGCTGTCACACTCACCTCCTGAGTATGGGTTTCCAAGGGGTATTTTGCTGGCTTTGGCTCTAACCCACCTTGCTTGCCTTTATCGTTCCTTTTGGACCTGACCATTTCTCTTTTTCATTCCTAGGATTTAGCAGTGCACAGGGCTGATCTCCTAAGCTTCAGCAACCCCAAAGGTGCCAGCCCAATGTCAAATAAAATGCCGTAGCTCTATAACCTTGATCTTTTACCCCTGGCAAAATCAGTGGGGGCAGTGAGCAACCTCCTGCCAAAGTTTTATCAGTCCTCGTTAAGAGGAATCTTTGACCCTTGGCTTTCCCACTGGCTCTGAGCCCTTTGCACGTGCTGTGTTTAGCAGTTCTTTCCACTCTTCCAGCGGGGGACCCTGTCCTTTGCATGCAACGGCTGGAAATTCAGCAGGGGCAAGCTGGGATGATGATGATGATGATGATGATGATGATGATGATGATGATAACATTTCTATGCCGCCCCTTGCTGAAGCCTCGGGGCGGCTTACAACACAATAAAATACATTGAAATACAATAGAACATAATAAATTACCACTAAATTGATGTCATGATGGAAGGTGGTTCGCTTGGGCTCTGAGGCCCAGCGGTATCTGCACATGCTCCACAGCTGAGTCCAGACCTAAATCCCTCTTTTCCAGGCTCAAAGTAAGCCCTGAAGAGAGAGAGCCGTTCCAGCTCTTCTTCCCCGCTTGCATTCGCCCAGTTCTCTTTCCAGGAATGTCAGCTCCTGGACTCTCACGGCCCACACACAATTTATACAAAGCCGAGTGTTTAGATGGCAGCCTTTCCTGGTGCTTTGATTTCAGCCCGGCATCCCAGAAGGAGCATTTAGCTGAGTCAACACTTCTGTCATCTTGGTTTGTTGCTAGCTCAGCCGTTGCGTCTGGGCAGTGTGGGATGAATGCTGATGCCGACTTTTCTGGCATTGGTCCTGCTGAGCAAGTACAAGATGAGAGCTGACAAGTAGAACGGCCAAAGGTATGTCGCTGGTATGTTTGCTCGCGTTTTGAAGAGCCCTGTTGTAGCGCTTCATAAACTGCAAGCTAATTGCAGGCACTTGAGTCGGAGAGACGTGTTTTAGCAGGAGTGAGGATGGCACTTGGGTTCTTTACTATATTCCTTTTGTTCCTCACCGTTCCCCTACCTTTGATCTGCCGAGTGCACCGCAACAGAGTAAAGTGGAATAATTTAGGATTTATATGTACCTGTTTGTGGGGTATTTATGGTCAAGTTGCCTCCAACTTATGGTAACCCCTATGAATTAAAGCCCTCCAAAATTTCCTGTCCATGACAGCTCCATTCAGCTCTTCCAAGTTGGAGGCTGCCGCTTCCTTTATGGATTCAGTCCATCTCATATTTGGTCTTCCCTTTTGTCCTCTGCCTTTTCCTAATATGATTGCCTTATCCGGTGCGTCTTGCCTTCCCGTGATCTGGGGCTTAAGCACTGGTAACCAGCTTGAGTCACTGTTCCGGCCTTGCATTCCTCCAGTCAGCCTGGGGTTCGGGGCGGGGTGGGGTGGGGGAACAGAGCTTGGTAGCAGAGTGTGGGTCCCACATGTGGAAGATTCCCATATCAAGTCCTGTTGCCCCCAGTGACAAGTCTCAGGTGGCAAATGATGGAGAAGAACAGGATTGCTGCTGCCAGTCAAAGCAAAGCTTACCCAACATGATGGTGTAAGACCTCCTATACTCCTTAACCTCTGTTGTTGAGGGGGATGATTCTACTCCCCCTTTTGGCTTTGATGCAATCAGAGCAAGTCAAGAAACAACAGTGAGAACTGGGCATGGAACCATGCCCAGTGAGCTGCCCCGAGGCTTTGTTGCGATGGGGGCGGCATAGAAATGTTTTAAATAAATAAATAAATAAATAAAATAAAAACCACTGATTGGTTCAAAATTGAGAAAGGAGTTTGGCAAGGCTGTATACTGTTGCCCTGTCTATTTAACTTATATGCAGAGCACTTCATGGGAAAGGCAGGGTTGGATGAATCACCAGTTGGAATTAAGATTGCTGGGAGAAATATCAACAGCCTCAGATATGCAGATGATATCACTCTCATGGCAGAAAGTGAAGAGGAACTAAAGAGCCTCTTGATGCGGGTGAAGGAGAAGAGTGCAAAAGTTGGCCTGAAACTCAACATTAAAAAAACTAAGATCATGGCATCCAATCCTCTCATTTCCTGGCAAATAGATGGGGAAGAAATGGAGGTAGTGACAGATTTTATTTTCTTGGGCTCCAAGGTCACTGCAGACGGGGACTGCAGCCAAGAAATTAAAAGACGCTTGCTCCTAGGGAGGAGAGCTATGGCAAATCTAGACAGCATACTAAAAAGCAGAGACATCACCCTGCCAACGAAAGTGCATATAGTCAAGGCTATGGTTTTCCCAGTTGCAATGTATGGCTGTGAAAGCTGAACCATAAGGAAGGCTGAGCACCGAAAGACTGAGGCCTTTGAATTGTGGTGCTGGAGGAGACTCCTGCGAGTCCCTTGGACTGCAAGATGATCAAACCAGTCAGTCCTAGAGGAGATCAACCCTGACGCTCTTTAGAAGGCCAGATCCTGAAGATGAAACTCAAATACTTTGGCCACCTAATGAGAAGGAAGGACTCCCTGGAGAAGAGCCTAATGCTGGGAACAATAGATGGCAAAAGAAGAAGGGGATGGCAGAGGATGAGGTGGCTAGATGGAGTCACTGAAGCAGTTGGTGTGAGCTTAGGTGGACTCCGGGGATGGTGGAGGACAGGAAGGCCTGGAGGAATGTTGTCCATGGGATCGCGATGGGTTGGACACAACTTCTCGACTAACAACAACAAAATGCAATGTAATTATAATAAGCAAGGACTGAATCACTCCATAGTGCTTAAAATAGCATCTCAAATGCCAGGTCTCTGCATACTTACCGAGAAATAAGTGGATAAAGTGCCTGTCTTTTCGGAAGCATGCATTTTGATGAATAGGCAGGGCCATTTACTTGAGTGTAAGCAAGGCAAGCTTGCTTGAAGAGCAAGCTCAGAAGCAAGCAGGACTGAACCTTCCCAGGTCCCCCTCACTCTTTCTGTCAGGCAAAAGGGTGTCTCCAGCATTTTTCCTTTTTCCCTTCTAATCCCTGGGAAAAGCAGCTTCTTCAGTGCTTTGTGGGGGAAAGCTCTTACCACTGATCAGCTGCTGACTGGAGAAAAGCATCTTTCTGCTGATCTGTTCTGGCAGAGGAGGCAAGACTTGGGGAAGCAGCCGGCAGGTATGTCAATCAGACTGTAGAGAGAGAGGATCTGAAAACAAAAATGGGCATGTCTAGGAAGTGGAAGGAAGGGCAGGCTTCAAAGGAAGAATACAGGCAGGTAGCAGGGAATTGCAGGGATGGTGTCAGGAAAGCTGAAGCTAGGAATGAGCTGAGGTTAGCAAGGGATGCTAAAAGCAACAAAAAGCTTTCTTTGGCTGTGTCCAAGAAAGGAATGGGGTTCAGCTACTCAGTGTGGATGACAGAATGATAACAGACGACAAGGAAAAGGCAGAAGTGCTCAATTCCTGCTTTGGCTCAGTCTTCTCCCAGACAATCCGGGTTAGAGTCCCCGCGCAGCCGTGGAGCCAACTGGGTGACTTTGGGCCAGTCACAGACTCTCAGCCCAACCTACCTCACAGGGTTGTTGTTGTGGGGATAAGATGTTTGTGAGCCACCCCGAGGCTTTGGCGAATGGGGCGGCATAGAAGTTCCCTAAATAAATAATAAGATGGAGGAGGAGAATGATGTAAGCTGCCTTGAGCCCTTTGCAGGAAAAAGGCAGGAAATAAATAAATAAATAAATAAATAAATAAATAAATAAAGGATCCGTGACCTTCCTGACAAAGGGGAAATACCTGTTGAAGGAGCAGGATGGCAGCTCGAGGTTGATAGGCAAATGGTCATGGATCATCTGGGTGGGTTGAAAGAGTTCAGGTCTTCTGGGTTGGATGAACTCCACCCTAGACTCAAAGGAGGTGGCAGAAGAACTCTCAGAACCACTGTTTGCTATCTTTGAGAAATCATGGAGGACAGGGGAAGTGCCAGATGACTGGAGAAGGGCTAATGTTTTCCCAATCTTCAGGAAAGGAAAAGACTACAGACCAGTCGGTTTGATATCAATTCCTGAGAAAATTCTGGAGCAGATTATAAAGCGTCTGCAGTCACCTTGAAAACAATGCATTGCTAGACACCAACATGGATTTCTAAGAACAAATCCTGCCAGACTAATCTCATTTCATTTTTTGATTGGGTAACCTCCCGGATGCACTGTGGAAATGATGCGAACATTATCTTGCCTTAAGCAAAGCATTGACAAAGTGCCCCATGATATCCTGATTAGCAAACTAACTAGAAGTAGGCTAGAGGGCTACAGAATCGGACTCAAAGACTGCTTATCAGTGCAACCTTCTCGAACGGGAGAGGTAACGAGTGACGTGCCACAGGTTAAGTCCTGGGTCCAGTGCTCTTCAACACTTGTGCTAATGTCTAGGACTAGGATGAGGAAGTGCAAGGAATGATGATCAGATCTGTAGATGACACAAAACTGAGTGGAATAGCCAACACCCTGGAAGACAGAAACAAGTTTTAAGGAGGTGATCCTGATGGGTTGGAGTGCTGGGCTGAAAACAACAGCATGAAATTCAAGTTGAGACAAATGCCAAGTTCTGAACATAGGGAAAGGGAACCGAATGCACAGTTACCAGATGGGGAATACTTGGCTCAACACTAGTAGTGAGAAAAACCTTGGAATTATTATAGATCACAAGCTGAATATGAGGCAACAAGGCAGTGTCGCTGCAAAAGGGACAAAAGCTGTTTTGGGCGGCATTAATAGAATCATCATTCCAAATCGTGCGACATGCAAGTTCTCCCGTATTCAGTCGTTCTCACCGCATCCAGTTCTGGGAACCAAAGTTTAAGGAAGATGCAGACAAGCTGGATAAGGGTTCAGGAGAGGGCGACAAGGATGTTCCGGGGAGTGGAGGAAAGTCCTATGAGGAGAGATCGAAAGAATTGGGTGTGTTTAGCCTCAAGAAGAGAAGAGTGAGCAGAGGACTTGAAAGGCTGTCACCAAGAGGAAGGCCAGGATCTCTTCTTCATCATCCCAGAGTGCAGGACACGGAATAACAGGCTCAACTTACAAGAAGGCAGATTCCAGCTGAACATCAGGAGGAACGGTCGGACGGTTAGTGGTTCCGTTGCCATAGTTCTCTGAGCAGGGGGTTGGACCTCATGGCCCTCTGGCCCCTTCCAACTCTGCTCATCTTTGATTCTACACAGGTGGCCTGTCATTGGCTGCACATGGAGCCACCGAAGGGCACACCTGGGCCTTGGACTGAGCATCTCTGGATCAAAGCATCCATTTGCTCGTGATACCAATGCGCTCCCTAGAGAGGTCCGCCTGGCACCGTCATTATATGCTTTTCAACGCCAGGTCAAGACCTTTCTATTTGATCAATATTTTAATGTCAATCCATTTTAATTGTATATGTATTTATCTAATTTATTTTAAAGATGTCAGTTTTATACTCAGTTTGTGGTATAACTAATTTATTTTGTTTAGGATTTATAATATTCTGTAGCTGTTCAGAGATGACAATGATGGACAGCCTATAAATTTCCTAAATAAATAAATACCAAGACTCACTAGAGAGAGGTGACTCATGCAGGCACATGGCTCTTACATACATAAGATCTGAAGTCAGCCTTTCCTGAGCAGAAAAATGGCATGCATTCTTTTGGATTTAATTCAGCATGGGCTAACAGAATTAAACAATGCAAAATAAATAAACCAAAGTATCAGCAAGCAAATTTCTCAGCAGTCAGAAACATAGAGAATGCGGCTAGAGAATTCTGGCTGAGCTCCAGCAGCAAAGAAAACCAAGAATGATCTAAGTGGGTGAAGCCAATGACTTGATTGAAGGTGCCCTGTGTGTTATTGGGGTTGTGGAGTGCCCTTGTTTTGTCTTTGAGTTGTACTTTGAAGGAACTAAGAGTGGCAGCAAATTTTGGGTGCTCAGAAAGGGAGTTCTAGGTTTATGGGATGGCCAAGAGTGAACGGGTGCTGTAGTGATAGCAAGAACTTTGTTGTATTGAACTGGCCCAGAGTACATCAAAAATGTAGAGAAGAAAACATAGTCCCATAGCAGTGTTACAAACTTCATTTATTTAAATTATTCTTGACCTGACTTGCGCTTAGAGCTGCTAAATAGAAGGGAGGAGGGGTAAAATACCAATGGCTTTAAAAACAGAATAAACAGAAATCATACTTGCTTGAGATGTAATTAATTCCCGACTTCTGAAAGTATAGCATACAAAATTAAATACAGGAAGTTTTGCACAAATTCTGTTGAGGGTGGAGTGTTCAGGTCTACGCTTACGAAAATTTAAAATGACAAGGGTGGAAGAGGGTTCGACTGGGAGCTGTTGTTTGTCCCATGACCACCCCACCCTTCCTTGCAGACCAGTCCAAGTGGTGAACACCTCTCGTTCCTGATCCAGAGCTGCACACAAGCGCAAGCCATCTGTTTGTTCAGCTGTGACCTCATAGAATCACAGAACAGTAGAGTTGGAAGGGGCCAAGAAGGCCATTCGGGTCCAGTCCCCTGCTAATTGCAAGACACTAAGTTACACCATCCCACAATTATTTAGTGGCGCTTAGGTGTTTTACCTGTTTCTGTCCCGGTTTATTATGGCCTTACCAAAACTATTTCATGTCCATGGGATTTATTTTGGATTTTTTCATCAGAGCGTAATTCATTTACAAGAAAATGGAATGGTGTGTACATTATTGTTTTAACTACAAAAAGTAGATGTGAAACTCTGAACAGCTTTTATTGTGGCAGCTATGTAAAACTGGTAAAAGATAATGGTAAAACAGCCTTCCTACTGCTTGAACATGCTTCTAGGACTGTGAAGATCCAAGTACTTCCATCACTGTATTTTGTCACTGGGAAAATTCAAATGCAGTGAATTTTTCTTTCTGAAAAAACCACATATACAAATGCCGGAATCAATTTTCTAAATCTAATAGCCGCAACAATTAGTCAACATATGGAAGCAGCACCTACCCAAATTACAAAATAGCTGGGGAAATGGATGAAAGAATAAGTGAAGAAATGCAAAATGTGCTACACCGGTGTGAAACTTATGCAGCACCGCGGGAACTTTTGCTGTGCTTTTGTTCAGAACAGCCGTATCCTGCTTTCAGTAGTAAAATTGGGTAACAGGAAACTCTTAATTGTAAAGCTTCCGCCACAATTTCCCCTGTACTTTTCCTTGAGTCTTGCAGGCTGCACTGGGCAGGTGGTGTCAAGGCTTTGTGGCTTCGGGAGCTCTGGTGGCTCTGAAGGGAAGGCTGCTGTAAGAGGGTCTTCCCCCGGGCCGGTTGTTGCCTCCCCAGGCCCGCAGTGCGGCAGGTGAGGGGCACCTTTTGCTCTGGATCCAAGCAGTGCAGCATGTTTGTCCCCAAGGAGCGCAGCAGCTTCTCCTCATGTGGGTCGCTCTGCCGGACTCTCACTCACAGAATCCTCCTCCTCTTGCCCAAACCCCAAGGCCCCTCCGCTGGAGCAAGAGGCAGAATGTGTCGGCGACAGTGCCCGGTGCAGGCCTACTTGGGCACCTGCTGACGTCCGCATCCCCTCGGAGTTCCCGAGACTTGCTTTTGCTGAGGCAGCCTGCTGTTCCTCGTCTCTCGCGTGGTCCCAGGTGAGAAGAGGCCTTGCTCCCGACTCATAGCTCGGGGCTCTCCGCCTGCCGACAACAAAGATGAGGGGCAAGTTCCATGGGTGACAATGGAAAGAAAGTCTTAGTGAGGGAAGGGGGTCTTGCCCAAGTGCCCCCAAACTCTAAAACTGGCACAGGTAGACAGCAGAACCAGTGAATATTCTGCACCCCATGAACCATATAACGGAACAACTGCCATTGAGTTCCTGCAGCTCTGGCTTTCAGACAGACTAAATTAGACCTAAATATTGCTAAATGGTTGGGTTGCGCTTGCCAGTCGACTGCAGGTCACATGGAGCTTGCCAAAAGATCCAGACGACCTTTCTGTCCACCGCTGTTGTAATGCTATTTTTCTTGAAAGCACTGTTTGCAAAAGATATTTCGTTACCTGTCTGGGAGGCCCTGAGAGGGAGGCATGGTGGATTCTTCCCCAGGTTTGCCACCAGACTTAACACTCCTGTTTTGAGGCTTGAGCAGCTTCATCTGTTGTTACTCTGCAACTGGCAGGGTCAGCACTGTTGGCCATGTAACTGGTTTTATCTCTGGACTTGTTTGCCTCTTTCGGGGTGGTTAGCACTTTTTCTTTGTGTTGTTTTGCGACTGTTTCCCAGAATCGCTACCAAAAACTGTCACAGCTACCGGAATTCTTTCTTGTCTTTGTTTACTTGCATTTACTTTAAGGTTAAACATATATGGATTCTCAATGTCGTAACAGCCACATTCTTAAGATCCACAAGAAGCTCCAAGATTCCAATGCTAAAATTAAACATAACAAAAGATTCCGCACTGTTAGCATACAATATAAAAAGAAACTTGGTTCCATTCAAGAAAAGTTAAAAGTAAACAAGAAGTACTATTTCCACATCTAAGCCAAGGCTGTTTATTCTGCGTCAAAGTATAGCTGCTTGTCCTAACTGTTGGTGGCAGCATGAAATAGATCTCCTTAGAGGGTCCTTGCACTAATTAATGCAGAATATCAGTTGAATAAATAAATAAGGTGCCCATTTTCTATTGTAGGCAGCCTCAGTGGATGCGGAATAGATCCTATGCTACAATCTTTTTAAAAGAACACAATAATGCTGCAATATGGGTTATTTTTATATGAAATCCACCCATCTAAACCTATCCCCTGCTTAATACTTTGGGCAATAAACTTTCAGAATTTTTGACCATTTTAATGCAAGTATTGTAGAAACTGACATCCAGAACCAAGTCTCTTATGCACGGTCTCCTCCTCTCATGGGTGGATATGTCACAGCGGCACACCTTGCGTGTATGTCCATGCATTGCCAAAAATGCTTTTCCAACCCCTTCAGAACTTTTAACTGATTGATTGACTGACTGACTGGGGCAAAAGGCCTCATTTTAAGGATTAAGGAGCAGATGAGAAGCATTTGCACCAGAGAAGAGAATCCACACAGGCCGCATGAAACGCTCAGGCTTGTTTACCTTATGTTTCTCCTGAGAAAGTTCTGAGGGAACATGGCAGCCTTTTGATCATGTTTTAATTGCATCATGCTGCTTAGGGCGTAAGCAGCTCTTACATCAATCCAATTTTGGCTGTTCTCCTCAGTGGTGGAGTTCTGGAACTCCTCTCCCCCTGCAAGCTTGTTTTTATATCAGAAATGATTGCAACACTTATGCAATAATCTCAAAGCAGAGTGCATAACCAATACAGCACTCTAAATCATACAAATGTTGACCTGTAAAGCAACACAGAGGCACACCAGTTTACAAGATGCAGCAAAACAAATTTACTCAAAAGCCTGGATAAACAAATAGGCTGTGGTTTGTGGCAGATTTTTCGACTCAGTGCTAACTGTGCATAAGGGAGTTTGGTGGTCGGGGGGGCAGCATTGAGAACGTCCTTTCTTAGGCAGCTGTCTATTGAATAACAGGGAAATATGGCACCATCCAGAGGGCATTTCCATTAGATCTTAATGCCCCAGAAGGTAGGTAAAGCAGAAGGTTCTTCAGCTCATATTTAGGTCCTGAGTCCTCTGTCAGCACAAGCACCTTGAACTTGGCTCAGTAGGTGTTGGCAAGTAGTACACATCTCAAACTGCTTTAATATGTTCCCAGTAGGGCGTTCTAGTCCTTAGCCTAGTATTAGGCATTTGGTGCACCATCTCTGCCTACTTCAAAGGCAGCCCACGGAGAGCGCTTTGAAACAGTTCAGCCCAAAGGCCAGACTGTTCCCTGCCCTGGCACGGCTGCAGAACCCGCTGAGGTTGAAGGAAGGCCCTCCTGGCTGCGCAGACTATTTGGGCCTCCACAGAGAACGCTCCCAAGCTACCACCTGTTCCTGCACATGGAGTTCGACCCCATTCAGACCAAGCAGTCCCTATTCCCCAGGTGTGGGCAACACTTGTCAGTATTCAGTTTGTTGTTGTTGCTGTTAACATGCTGTCAAGTCGTCTCTGACTTACGGAGACCCTATGAATAAATGCTTGGTCAGCTCTTGTAAACTCAAGTTTGTGGATTTCTTTATGGAATCATCCACCTCCTTGTTGGCCTTCCCTTCTCCTCTCTCTGCCTTCAGCTTCCCTAGCATTAATGTCTTCTCCACGTCCACCTTCTCATGACATGCCCAAATAAAACAGCTTCAGGTTCACCGTTTTTTGTTTGGAGGGCAAATTTGATCTAGAACCACTTGTTTGTGCTTCTGTAGGACCAGGGTCTTTGCAAAGGTCTTCCCCAGAACCCTGTTTTGAAAACACTAATTTTCTTCACTGTCCTGCTTACAGCTTCTTGACCCTCTTCTTGTCCAGTACTGTGTCTCCTAATGACAGCCCCAAAGAGTTTCATGTAGTCCAGGAGACTGAGCTAGACCCCTGAGGACCTCCCAGCTTCCTTGCCAGGGGCCCAAAGCTTTGCCACTCAGTAATGTCCTCTCCGCATATCTCTGCAGGCAGAACAGAACCACATTTGGGCTTCTAATCCCGATGGTCAAGGTATCAAGGGGAATCAACAAAGTGGCTCCTCCTATTTCCCTCTCGATAAGAATAATCTGTCAGGGGAACCGAGGTTGATCTGGTCCCAAAACCAGGCCTGAACCCCGGCTGGAACTGCTCTAGTTAACTTCCTTCAGGAGTGTCTGAATCTCTGCAGTCACCATCTCTTCAGGTCCCATCCCTGAGAAAACAATCTCTTGAGTCAGTGTGTCGTCACCAGGGCACTGAGCACCTCTGCTTCCTTCAGTTAGGTATTTACCTATCTGGGTGATCACTCTCAGCTAGTTTGAACTTGTGAGGAAGGGCAGAGGCCACTGCCACGGCCTTCCCATCCACATCGCCAGCCCTCGGAACCTGGCTCTCATCTCACAAAACTGGACCGGCTGGAGCATGGGGCCCGGAGCTCGCTTGCATCAGTGCTGATGTCCAGGTGGAATGAAGATGGAAGACTTCGTCCCCAAAGTTCCTTGCAGCGGTGTCTTGGCAGGTACTCAAGGGCTCCAACATGTCATTTACTTGGGTAGTTCAAGGCCTTCTAATGCAATAGCTCTGCTGGACAGCCACTGGGAAGATGCAGTGAAGCAAAACTCGTTTGCTGCCCTCACTCCCACCTGATCAGCACAGTTGTCCACCCTGGCCTGGGTTCTGTCATCTACGCAGAAAGTTTCCCCCCACTCTGCTCTGGCTGACTTGCCTCGTTGCCTGCAGATCCCTCTGAGAACCCGGGGAGCACCCAGGTCCCATCGTGCTGCTGGAAAGGGCATGCGAGGGTGGACCTGCCAACAGCTCCTCTTATCCTGCTGTTCCACACCGAGATTAACCGAGTAGCCATCCGGGCAGAGCTGAGTCACCCTGAGGCTGCCAAGTCGCCTGTCTGGGTTCCCATTCCACCACAGCTAGAATGTTGGCACACCATCTTTTCTTATCACCCATCCTTGCAATACCTGGATGAGGGAGAAAAGACACCCAAAATATGAGTCTGAGGTGGCCAAACGCACCTACCTCAGGCGTGTTTCACCTCTCACCTAAGCTACAGTATTGGCATGAAAGCACCTCCAGAACCTCCAGTGGTTAGACAGAGTTTAATGGAGTTTTCTCATGATTATTTTTCCTGTTTTAAATTCAGGATTAAATTTTGTATTAACTTTTATGATGTTTTAATTGTGTGTTTTCTTTGTTTATTTTCAATGTTCTGTTGTGAACCACCCGGAGAGCTTTGGCTGTTGGGTGGGATAGACCCTGAATGCGTGAATTCCTTTAGCCAAGGGTCTCGGTTGAAAATTCTGCTTGCTGTTACGTCTGCCCGTACCTGTTGCAGCAAGCAAGCGTGTGGTTGGGCACCAGGGCAGTGAATGGCCCAAGTCACCCAGTTGCTTCAAGGCAAGAGGGGGCTAGAACCCAGACCGCCGGAGTCCCAGGCCTGCATGCATAACCACTACACCACACTGGGTCTGCACCTTGCTTTTATTTCCATATGGGAGGAACATTTTAAAAAGTGGAGGTGATACCTCATCTTCTTGGGATCCCGTCATCCCACAAAGGTGCCCAGCGGACCTCAGGGGTGATGGCAGCAGCTCTTGGCCTTTCTGAGGTGTCTTTTCTCTGACTGGCCTGATAGAGAACATTTGTACTCAAGGTGAGTCACAAGAATGTAACATTGATGAAGCATCAAGAACGTTGGAGCAGATGGGCTGGCATGATAACGGAGAAAACTGGCCAGCGGAAATCTCTGCCATTCTGCAAAAAATAAATCTTCGCGGTCTTCTGAACAGGCATTTGCTATAAACATGGAAAAACCGTAAAAAAGACTGAGCTGGCAAGAGAGTAGGAATGCTGCCTAGCCAGAAGAGATACCAGGCATCCTTCCTAAGAGAGGGATTCTTTGTTTTCGTTCTCTCTCTCTCCCCCCCTCCCTCCCCTCCCTCCCCCTCTACCTTCTGTTTTAATTCCTGAAGGAGTGCTTTGCCGGCAGCTCAAGCTCTGTAAAAGGCAGTTTGCTTGTACAGGAGGAATCCATGGGCAAAAATGCGAGTGATTTGGTTAGACCTCTGGGGTGGTGCAAGTTTCATACCCTTCTTTTTCATGCATTTACCCACTCCAGGTGTGCTTTCGGACAAGACTTTACAATGCCATTGATCTGCCTCATTTGTGGAATTTTATAGGGGGCAAACTATTGTCTTTCACTTGTATCCCCTCCCCTCCTCACCCCTACTGGGTCCTGCAGCCTCTTTCTCCCCCACCCCCCCACCAGCAAATCCATTCTGGATTGGGCCCTCAGCATGCAGTGTAGAGTGGGTAAAAGGGGGCAACGATCTACTACTTGCAATGTGGGGTGCTTTGGAGGGGGAGGGAAGAAGGTTGGAGCACTCTCAGGATACCTCATTACCTGGGCAGCTAAGTCCGTCCCCCCCCCCCCCCATATCTTTCCCCTGAGGTCGTTTTCCAGCCATGGGGAGGTGGGCAGGCCAGTCTGCCACACCAGGTGCAAGGGCTGGGGGAGAAGAACGCGCTGAGGTCGGAGCACTGAGGATCCAAGTTAGGGATGTCTTGGGACCTGAGTAAGTGCATATTCTAAGGACACAAAAGCTGCAGGGTGCAGGTTTTTGGCAGCACTAGAAGCCCTTTGTGCTGCCTCCCCCCCCCCCCCCGTGCTTTTGGATCCAAGCGGACAGTTTTCCAGGGGGAAGGGCATGGCTCCCGGCTACAGAGGTGAGCAGGGCAACTTTTTGGGTAGCCCAAATTCTGGGGGTGCCTTGACAGACAAGCAGCTTTCTTTTTTCTCTGCGAGGCTGATAATAGTGGCTGGGAACCCATGGGTAGGACTTAGTCATTAGGAGCTCTTAATGTAGCAGCTGAGTTACTGAAATTAAGCTAATTGCATCCCAATCAACTCGGGCTTAAAACAATGTGTCGTTGTTTTGCTGCCGTTTAAAAGCTAAGATGCAAACTGGATGAACAAGTTTCTACGGAAAATCAGATGTTCAGTGGTGGTGATCCGTGGATGATTCTCTCCTATTCCACTCATATTTGGATGGGGGTGGGAAATGTTCTCTTTTGGGCTTTCTTTGGAGGCCACAAAAACAGTAGCAACTGGAACTGAAGAATTTGTTTAAGAGTTTGACTTAATAAAAATTGGGATGGGAAACTGATGCTTATTTTGATCAAGGAGAGAGTTTCTTTATTCCCTTGCAGTCATTGGCGCAATCTGAAACTATGCTTGGCTCAAAAGGATCAAACCTAACTGAGTTTGCCCAACTCCATGGGGCAATTAAATTTGCCCTCCAGTGCTGGAGGGCATTGGATGGAGGAATTTCTAGGCTTGGATGTCAAAGAACAAATTGTATAGAATAAAAGGGGTACTGGCACTAAAGCCAGTGCTGTTTTGTTTATTAGACCACATTTGAAATCCAGATTTATTTTCTTCTTATATCTTGGATGGGAGGAGAAAAATGTATCACCATACTTTTAGCTCTTCTCTCTCCATATACATTTTTTTCAGTCTTTTTATATGTGCTGGTCATGGAATTCAGAAGGCGCGGGAGAGAAAATACAGGAAAAGTGTGTACAGGTTTTTGCTACAGATGTTGTTTGGTATTCTAATAACATGTTTCAAAACCATTACATAAATAAAACAAGGGGAAGACTATTTTCTCTTCTTTCCCAGCCTTGTTAATTTAACATTCTGCCTGAATTAGGAAAAGTTCTGGTGACTCAGAAACTCACTTCCACAGGGCAATCAATAGAAATCTACTCAGAACCATGTCTTGCTGATTTTAAAAGGGCTTTTAAATGTGATTACCGTATTTTTCGCTCTATAAGACGCACTCCCCCCCCCCAAAAGTAAGGGGAAATGTCTGTGCATCTTATAGAGCAAATGTGTGTGCGCCCGACGCCCGGGACGCTGCTGGCCCTCCTGCACCACATGGCACCACCTGGCCAGCATGTGCTCGGCGCATGCTGCTTCACCCCCCCCCTTCGGCGCAGGTGAGAGCTGTGCCGCTCAGGGGGAGCGGTGCGGAGGAGGAGGAGCCGCGGGCTTTAACCTGCCGGCTGCACGGAGAGACGGACAGCTCACCCCCACCGCCCAGAAAGACCTGCCACCGCGCCGCCTGGAAGACCACTGCTGGCATGCTGCCAGCCCAGCTGCACCACACCTGGCCGGCACGCGCTCGGCGCGCCCTGCTCCGCCCCCCTCCTCCGGCGCAGGTGAGAGCTGTTAATCACAGGTCGGTGTGTGTTTTCAAATGGCAACCCGTCTTTTAATGAAGCCCATGGGGAAGTGATGGGGAATGTGCCTGTGATTATCAGGAAGCTTTCCATGGATCCCTCCTCTAAAAACTAGGTGCGTCTTATGGTCAGGTGCGTCTTATAGAGCGAAAAATACACTATATGATTACGACCTCAGTTACCATTTTAGGTGGTCCTTGTAAAGGCAATGGTATGATTTTCTTTGATTGGAGATAAAGTAGCCTCCGTCCTATACCAGTTAGAAATAACTTGTCCCATAGTTGATTGAGGAGAAGTAGTTCTAAATCCAATGATCAGAAAGGAAGTATTTAATCTGCAATGTGGTTACAGAGCTTTCAGAGCAATTATCTCCCAGTTCAAGGGCCAAATTCCATTTTGGAGAAGCTTTCCAAGTGCACCAAAGTGAAGTGGAAAGGGGCAAACTGCACCAGCAGATTTTAGGATAAAGCTTTGCCAGGATCAAAGCCGTAGGAAAGGCATTTCAGCTTTTTAGAGTGATGAAAAATGGCACAAAAGGTGGGAAACCATTAAATGATTGGGGGTTGGGGAAGTACATGCTACAAAAATGATGCAATGTCTACTCAGGAGTAAAAAAGAACAAGATGGATAGGGCTACTTTTGGTCTGAGGGTCCTCTGTTGGCATTTAGGGATTTGACAGTGTCTTGACATAGGAGCCCAGCCTTGTGTTAACAATTTAAAAAAACTGCTAGTCAGTGAGATCCCCCAGTCTTTGTAAAACTCTCCAAGAATCTCCACCTTAGAACCTGGCAGAGTGGTTTTTTCCCTATAGAAAATGTAGTTGTTATAGTGTGGTGTAGTGGTGAAGAGCTGGGACTGGGACTCAGACAATCTGGGTTCTAGTCCCCGCTCGGCCATGGAGCCAACTGGGTGACTTTGGGCCAGTCACAGACTCTCAGCCCAACCCACCTCACAGGGTTGTTGTTGTTGGGATAAGATGGAGGAGGAGATGTAAGCTGCCTTGAGCCCTTTGCAGGAAAAAGGCAGGATATAAATAAAAAATAAAAAAAATATGTTTCAAATCAGATACATTTGTAAATCCTGTAGGTGTGGATTTACTTGTAAGCCAGCGTGAGTTTCAGCACATCCAGTCTTAATCAAATTATCTGCTTGTTGCATTTCTGCCAAAGATTAAGTGGATGTCAAGCCTCTGCATGTTTCATTTGAGGCTGCCTTGGCACCATATTTGGACATTTCAGCTGGCAGCCCGGGCAGTTCATGAAGAGAAACGCAGGAGCTGGTCGCAGTCACAATGAATCAGACCATTCCAGATTAATGCATGAGATGGCCATAAAATAACATGCCAGCATGCAGCCGTGGTATTTCCAACCCTGAATAAAACAACTGCGCATTGTTCCCCAGTTTACCCCTGCTTCCCCTTCCTGTGTTCCGCTATATTGAATTTCAGGCTGTCAGCTCCTCTAGGAAGCTCCGGGAGTCCGTAAAGCAACTTCCATACTGCTGCCTGTGCATCTATAATTATTATTATTACATTAGATGTCTGTACCACCTGTCGCCAAAGCTCTCTGCATGGGTCACAACATTTGAGTCACCCATCCAGATTTCAGCCAAACTGGACTCTGCTTAGCTTCTGAGATGATAAAAAATGGTATGTGTTAGCACCATTGATCTAACACTGTGCTGCCTCAACACCTAAAACTTGACATGCACACTAAGGGAGTTCTAAGATTGTGCTTGTCTGGGTGATTTTCTTTTAAAAACACATTAATTCATGGAAATGTGTTCACCTGTGTGGAACTTGCAGGCCATTGTTTAGGATGCCCTAAACAGCGCCAAAGTTTAACATCTAGAACAGTTTGGAACTGGAAGGGAATAGGCAGAGGGACAAAGTTGTACTGCTGCCTGTATAGGTCTGCAGGTCCCTTAGGGGGCCGAAGGGGTACAGAATGTAGGGAGCACCGGTGGGGCTATGCTCATTCAGACAATTTGGGCACAAATGGCCCGATTAGGATCGCTGTCTAAATTGCCTGAGGGCTTTGCCCTGTTAAATTAAGTGCTATTTCAGTCAATTGAAAACTGGGTCCATTTGCTAATAAATAAGAATACAGTGAACACTTAAAAGACCTGGGCAAACCAAAAAGGTTTCATCTGATGCTGAAAATAAAAGAAAGAGAGGCAAGTTGGCCTCGCTTGCAAAAGAATTCACAGGGCTGGGTCCCATGGTGTAAGAAGATCCCTCTGACCAGTTTCAAGTGCTTGTCCAGCTAACTCAGGCCTGTGTCTGAGCTGATGCTCCGTGTACCCCAAGTGGCACTGGGGGGACAAAAGCCAAATTCCCCACTACAGAGGGATTCCCTCCAGCGGAATCCGGGCCGTGTGATTCCAGCACTGCGGATCTTCTCAGGGGCAGTGAACTGGTGTATTCCAGGGTGCTTTGTGGGAAATATTGACTGGGTGATTTTGCTAGGGTGTCTTCTGTTCGTTTTAGGTAACTATTTTATTTTATTCTTCCTGCTAATCTAAGCTTCATACAATTTATCATTCTCAGGGGTCTCAGAGGGGAACTACAGTAATGAACTTAGACCTGTGGGTTAAAACTTGGAGAAGCCTCCAAAAATGAATTGGGGACCCCCAGATTTGCATTCTAGAAGATGAGGTGGCCTCTCTTTCTAGAGGAATGTTCCTCTGCATCTCTTTTTGCGTGTTTCAAAGGTTGTGCAAGTGGAATTTTGGGAAGAAAAGTGGGGGAGCCAGAATCTGAGTTGACTGCCCCTCCTATTGACTGGCTCGCTCTGAGCTGAGCTTGCCTGCACGTACATGATGTAATCTTTAACATGAAAGGAAATGAATGGTCATTTTGTACCTCAAATGATTTCCTTGCTTTCTCATTTCCTTCCAGTTACCTTATTTAGAGGGCTCAGAAACAGGTCACCATCTCAGTCTTATAATCACTCTTCTACATACGGTTGATTGGAAGGAGCTTCAAGTTTGTGGTTACCTACTGCAGCTTCTCTTTTAGTCAGCTGGTGCTATAAAAGGATTTCCTTTAAATTTTGCCTCCTTTGTGGACTCACAGGTAGGGTCTTTTAACAAGTTCACATTTAACTTACGCTGATCCTGTCTTCAGAGAATTTGTGGACAGCAGGTGCTTGGAACCCTTGATTGGATTTTAATGGCATATACTAATTGGGTGTTTATCTGCTATTATTTTAAAAAATCTCCTAGCTTAGGTGTAATGTGCAAATTCCTTGGTAGGTAGAAAGCAGAGATTATCTAATAACTGAGACGGCAGGAGATGATTTTTAATGGTGCATAGTGTAAACAAACAAGCAAAAACAGGAATGCCAAATTGGATAACTTTATTCAGTGGTTGTAGAGGAAGAGCCATCAGAGAATTAAGACCCAGCTTCCTATGTTATAGAGATCCCTCTGTTGAATAATGTTAGCAGCTGGATTTTCCGTTTTCAGAAAGGAGGGCTCAACCATTGAGTATTTCTTGTCCCCAGAAAACCTTTGGGATAGCCTCAGGTGAAGCTGAAGCTACTGTTTTACCTAGAACAGCCTAACTAGAGGGCCTGCACTTTCCATTTAAGACGCTAACCAAATGCAAACTGCAGGGCCAGAGTGCTAACGGCTCCCCCCCCCCCCCCGCGCCCCGCCTCGTAATCCTTTTCTGTTTACCTCTTCAACAGGCAAGAGTTCTGCAGAACTCTGCAATAAATTTCACAGCATGCCCTGACCTTTGCTTTTGGCCTAATAAAGGTATTGTGGATTTTGGATATTTTCTTTTGGAATGCTTCTTTTGGCTAACAACAGTTCTTTTCATTTCTTTGTAACTGCAAGCAAGAAATCCTTGCAGATGTAGGGCAAATGACCCAGAGATTGTAAATCTTGTCCCATCTTCTGACCTTCCATTTGCAGAGTTTCTGATAAAAAGATGACAAAGGCTTGGGGGATGACTTACCTATAATTGCATCCTGTTGGCTTGTCATCATTCCAGTTTTAGGATTCCTCCCCTTTTTCTTGTCTCAGTATCCAAAAAATAGCATGTTTGTGTTTGTCTGTGTGAGGGTTTCTGTTACCTTGGGTAGCACTTAATTTCCTTTCCACTATGCAAGGTCATGGCTTGATCACTATTTCACAGCTGTGGGATGTTCCAGGGACAGCATTGCCAGTGCTGGGTTTTGTGGTTTTTGGGGTGAAAGAAGAGCATAGACTTACGGTATTTTGCAGTGCTTGGGTGAGGATTTCTTACAAGTCCAGTGTAACTGGAGGAAACAAGAAGCACTGTTCAGCCCCAGAAGGGTTTGCTCTGCCCCTTAAGATGAATGCAGTTTACAGTACTGCCTGTTCTAAAACTGCCAAGGGCCAGGGAGAAGGAGAGGTACTTGTGAAACTTTTGCCCTCCTCTGCTAAGATAACAGAGATTTCCTTAGAAATGATGCACCTTGTTGTGGATGGAGGTGCCATTTGCTGTGCTGCCTTCAGCAGCAACTGGGCTGTGGCTGTGATTTCCCTCCAGTTCTCACCCAGGAGCATTCCTTTTGTCAAATCCCAGTGGTTCCTTTTTAAGGTGTAACTGCAGTGATGTATTTTTTCAGAAGAATTCGGACAAGAGCACTCTAGCTCTATTAGCATGCCGTACCTACCAGGCTGAGGCATTTGCAAATGTCGTTTATTTTTGCATTTTTAACCTGCCCGATGAACCGTCTGTTGTACTTCAGGGCTCCCCTTGGAGTGAGTGGCGGGCTGTGTGGATGATTCTTGCCACCCCGTGTTCCAGAATGAGGGCGTGTGATCGTTCAGCATGACCCTTATATTCCCTATGCTATACACAGAATACTGAGATGTGTGAACAATGAAACGGGACTTGCACACTTGGTGTGTACGCCAAGGGCCAACACATGCTTTGAGAAGAGAATGACACTCCTACGTGTCTACTGGTGTTACTATATATTGTGATGAGGTTATTGAAGGTCCCTAGCAAGTGAATGCTCCTAAAATACACTGGGGGCGTGCAATTTATTTTAGCAACCCAAGGGTAATCCTGTCTATAAGGAAACCTGTAAACTGTGCAAGTTTCCCTCCACCCACCACATCCCTTCTGCACATGCATGTATGTATGTATGTGCACTTATCTGAACTAGTATGATTGAAAATGATTTTCAGTGGTGGCCATAATGACTTTTGTTGCACCCCTGTTGGGCCAGATTCCATTATAAAGCAGTGTTCATTCAAATATCACCTTTCTTTCTGCAAACTTATGTGTAGCTATGGGTGTTGAGCATTCTTCCATTTACTTATCTGCTGGAAGCAAGCTTGGAAAGCAGTGGAAGGTGGGTCTATCCCCAGGCAGACTTGCTGGCAATCAGCAAGGAATTTGTGATACGGTTCTGCGCTAATCTGGTTACACAGTGATGACGGGGGCTGCTCTAAGTAAAGACTGAGTTGCTCTGTCCAGTTTCCTTCATTATGGCCCTGGATAGATGACAAGAAATGGAGGTTCAGTTCGTGATCATCCTCCATCTCTTGGCTGGTTATACAGTTAGGAGAAAGAAGCTGGGAAAATAAACAGAGAATCAATAGAGGCAGTTTCTGTAAATGCCTTCCTTTTCTTGCTCCTAATTTATTCTCTGCTCTTTCAGTCCATCCATGCCCTGGAACTTTTCAGGAACCCATCCTGCCCCATAGCATCGGAGCTCTTTTCCTTGGGACCCATGTCTGGATCCCTTTTTGCTGATAATCTCCCCCAGCCTATTGCTCTTTGGATGTGTTAGACTGCAGTTCACATCATCCCCAGCCAGTACAGTCAGCAGCTCGTAAGTCGCCACTCCCATCAGCCACCTGCCTGCCATTTCAGTGCATTTTAGTAGCCATTTTGGAAGAGCAGTCTGGTCACTGGGAGAGGATCCCAAGAGAATGTTTGGCTTTCCCAACACCTTGGCTGTGCTACCTGAGCGTGATGGGAACTGGCCTCCGGGTGCTATCAGCTGCAACAGGCTGGGGAAGGCTGGTCTTGGCCTTGGAGGTATTCTATAAAAAGTATTCCCCACCTCCTGGGACTCTTGGTTCCCGGCTTCTGTCCACTTGCCTTTTGCAGCTGCTTCCACGCTTCCTCCCCTTGCTCACTGCACCCTCTCTGGATCTTCCCCACCCAGGACAAATGGAGTCGGCCAGCAGAAGGCAAGTCTACCTAGTGACAGGCGGCTGTGGTTTTCTGGGTAAACACCTGGTCCAGATGTTGCTGGAACGGGAGCCTGGCCTCGCCGAGGTGCGTGTCTTCGACGTGCAGCTGGACGAGAGCATGCGGCAGCTGGAAAGAGGTGAGAAATTGCTGTGCATTTGCTGTTTTTTCCTGTGCTGTGCTGGGATTCACTGCCCAATGGTGTGTGGATATCAGACTCCTGAGGGTCTTACCCTGAATTCACAGTGCTTTTCAGAGTCACCATCTGCGCCCATAATTGGTAGGAAGGCCCCATGGGAAGGAAACTGAAGGGGTCTTCAGTATAACACTGAACCTCCTTTTTTCGGGCACCCCTCAATGCTGAGCTCTCTCTGGCTTCCAATTTTCTGGGTAACACTGCGGTGGCATGAGCCGCACGGGCACCCACGGCTGCTCGTTTCCCAGTGTGATTCCTTTGCACGCTTCATGTCTGGTAATACAAATGAACCCTTGAACTGATCTAGCCCCCCCTCACAGAGAAAACAATGTCCCCCAAATTGTTGATATTCAGAGGATGGGCCAGGGGTTCTTCCAGGGAGAGGTAAAGCTGAATGCTGTCGTCTTTTACAAGTTCTAGTGTCCGTCTTTGAATTCTAAGAGATATTGTCTAGCTGAGCCCCAGCTTAAATTTTAAACCTTCGATATTGAAACAGAAAACTTAATATTTTTCTACCGATCTTTGCAATTTGTGTTTCCCACGCACAAACCCAAGCAATTAGGGCTGTGTGAGTGAGAGGGTTTAGATGAAACTCCAGTTATGAAAGGACACATGCTCAGATATTCAGGTTGTGCATCTTCTTCATCTTCAAAAACGAATTCCTCCAACTGGCTTCAGTGGAAGACAAACCAAGAGACCTAATCCTTTTTTTAAAAAAAGAATTTTTAAAGGCCACCTTTGCCATAAAGACAGAAGGTCTGCATTTCTTAAAAATGTAACTGACCGCATTTTTCTGTGTCCAAAGCCAAGCGTCTCTTCCAAAAGTTCAGTAATGAATAGTTTAGACCATGGTGGGCATTCTCCTTGCTGCTGGAAAACTCAGAAATGCAGACAGGCAGCCAACAGCAACACGATGCTCTCTGTTGGTATGCCTGACCTCTGATCCACTTACGGGCAGACATCTTGTGAATGCTGAAATCAGAGGCAAATCCCACCGTGTTCAAGGCTTGCAGAGTTATCCTAAATGAGAGCGGGTCAAAATGGAAGGTCAGCATACAAGAACGGCTGGGTTTAGTACTCAGGTGTGTGTTTCTTTTCAATCCCTCCCTCACTGTTTTAGGTCAGAAGGAAATTAATGGGCCATATCCTGCATTTTTTGTGGGGAGCCAGGGGGCTTTGAATCTTCTAGATTCAAGGCCATGTTTTGCATGTTTCTGCTTACAGAAACACTACCAGCAGCTAAGAAAAATAGAAGTCTGTGTCCAGATGGTGCTGGCTGTAATCAGAGCTGAATTCTGGGGTGGGGGCAGAACAGGAGACAGGTGAGGAATGGCATTTTGGCCAATTTTAATTTAATGTACTTATTTTCCAAACCATAACTCATCTTTGAAAAGGAAGAATTTTTAAGGCCGCTTGCAAAGATATTTTGAGTTAAAATAAATCAGTCATAGATATCTTTAAAGAAACCACCGTTGGCATTTGATTTGAATGGTAAGGCATAAATCTTTATCATGAGTGAGGGGGACCAGTCTGAACTTGGCACCAAAAGCTCCTGGAACGGAGAGAGCTCCTGGAACGGAAAACCACATTGCGCAAAGAGGGCTCTGAGAAATTGGCTTCGGGAGCGGCAGCCCATGGCCAGCATGCAGCCTCGAAATATTTCGTGTCCGCTGGAGCGCTCTTCCGGCAAGTGGCCACCTGTGCCTGCTGAGGGTATTATGGGAAGGCGGCAGGGAGGCCCGCGTGTTCTGTATTGCCCAATCCGGATTTAACCGGGGCAGGCCTGCTTTGCACCACCACCCCCTACATGGCGTGGGGGCTCCTGGCTGGGCCTCGTGGGGTGCTGATCGTGTTTCACATCAGTGAGACCTCCCACCGAGAGCGATGCTTTATTTTGCCCAAGCACCGGGGCTCCCGCAGTTCTGTTCTTTGCTACAACAGGAATGGTAGAAAGTCTGCCAGGAGAGGAGGCTGGGAGCCAAAGTCGACTCCCCTGCTCCCCCCGCGGGCGGGGGTGATGTGCTCCCAGCCACGTGTCTGGCCCGTTTGCCTCCCTCCCGAAATATCCTCCGCTTGGCCTCGTGAGAGTAGCTCGTTTGGCCAGCCATCCTGCCAAGCAATGTGAAATAGGGACTGGGAAGGCAGAGGAACTGGGGGAAAAGAGCTGAAGGGGACAAGAGGGGTTCCTGGGCTGGGTGAGCGCGAGTGGAAGCGGCTCCTTTCATTTCCTGCTGCGGCCAAGGTCTGCCTCTCTCTCGGCCTTGGACAACTGCCCACCTTGATTCCAGAAAGTGGCGCAATGAATGTTCCTGACTTGGGCTGTGACGCAACCTGACGAGAGAGGTTTTGCCCTGCCACGTCACCGGCAGGCTTGGTCAATATTTAACCCTGGTAAAGCGCTTGTTGCATGCTCTGGGTTGGGCAGTATTGCCACCGCGAAGAGGCAGCGGGAGACCAAACGCCTCCTTGGGAAGGTCCACCCCCCTCCTTCCAGCTGGCCCTCCTTCCTTTGAAAAGCAGGGCTATTGGTGTTGAGGAAATCAGCATTCGCAAAACCATTCGATAAAGGGTTTTATATGTGTGGTTGCTTGGACGTAAGTGAAGTTGGAGCTTGCTTTCAGTGTGAGAAAGGAGTCCTAAGAATAATCTGGACATACCCTGAGCATGTGTAAAGTGTTTTTTCCCCTCTATCACCCTGTGGTGCTTCGAATACGACACTCTTCTCAGTGCAGGGAAAAAAGGATATATTTATTTGTATAAGGCATTTTAGCCTGCCCGTTAATCCATTTGGCTCCCAGAGTGACTTGCAGATGCCATTAGTGAGCCTGTCTCTGCCCAGGCTTTTGGTGCCACATGACACTAAAGGAAGAAAGCGTAGGGAGGGAGGAGGAAAAAGCCAGCCTACGCAACAGTTCTGATGGAACGGCTGCTGGGTGGGTGGCAGGTGGAGGGAAGCGAAGGCAGCGTGGAATCGCCCCGCAGCCCCTCTCTCCTTCTGCTCTGCAGAGTGGGGGATCCCTGCTGTAGGTTGACATTGGAGATTCACAGTTCAATTTCCTCAGGTCCTTAGGTCAGAGCGAAGCTTCTGAGAAGGCCCTTTGCTCGCTTCCCTCCTGCCTTCCCTTGCCAATGTCAAGCAGAAGGAGTGATAAGAAAGTTATTTTTGGTGAGAACTTTGGAGCAGGGTGTGAGTTCCCCTTGTCACAGATTTACTCAGCTCCAGAACACCCAGGGAATTTCTGCTGCTTGCTCCTGGCGTGCGATTGTCCCTTCTGCCACGTGGCAGTGACCCCAGTGTGAGTCCTTCCTGCCCCAGTCCGCTGCCTCTGACATGGCACTGGGTGGCAAGGCCAGGATTCTGGCTGGGAGTCGTGGCCCAGCACAGCCGGAGGGCACCCAGCCGGGGACGTCTGGTGTCCTAGAAGGGCTCTGTGGAAAGGAGGCGTCATCCGCGTCCCCCATCTGGAGCCCAGAGAATGGCTGGAGGCGCCGCTCTTTCAGAAGGCTGCTAACAGGAAGCAGGCTTTAGCTGGGTCACGCAGTCCTAGCAGCCTCGCTAAAGCCACTTGGGTGCCTCCTCCCTCCCAGAAGAGGGAATGGTGCACATAATCAAAGGAAGGACTAGGAATATCCCCCTGATTCATTTCCAGAGGCTTCGTGGTGGTGCCCCGGCCCTGGCTCCTTCAGAGAAGTAAGCTCCCGTTTAAAAGAAATCGAGCTCACATGCTGCTCGCTGCTGGCCGGAGCCAGGGGGCCTGGCGGGACTCTGCTGGAGAGGAAGAAGCCGGGCAGGGAGCACCACCGGGCGAGGCCTCGCTTGACGCAAGCAGAGGTGCGGTGCCCCGGGCGGCCCCAGTTCCCAGCTGCCTGAGGAAGCCGGGCGAGGGCAGGAAGGGGACTCAGCGCCCCCGCCGTTGCTCATTCCTGGCAGGTGTGTTGCAGTCACGGCAGGATTTCCTGCGAGGGTCACGACGGGCTTCCTGTCAGAGCAGAAGGGAATGAGAAACGGGAAGGCCCTCTTTGGCGCCTACCTTCAGATGTCTGATGTCAACACCTTAATGAGTTGGGTCAGAAAGCAAAAGTTCCCTCAAGTTCCTCCACTCGTGTGGCTTCTGAACCTTGGCTAAATTGTCTGTGCAGATTTTTTGCAACAGACAGGCTGTCCGCTCCAGGGAGGAAACCCCGTGCACCTGGATTTTATGGGCTTAATTCGAGGACTTGACAAAAGCCTAGATAATCTTTCCAGGTACTTCCCATGATTTCCTTGACGTGAGTGGCCTTGATCAAATCCCTGGTTTTCCTTTCTTTTTTCTTGTCCATGGTGAGGGAAAACTCACCCTGTGTGAATAACTCTGACTGTCTTTGACCCAGCAAAGGAAGTAAGATAGGATTTAGAAGTGCTCTAACATTTAATCCTACAACACTTGAGTTGAATAGATCTGGCTTTAATCAGCCACAGTTTCCTTGGTATCTGATTCTTAACCAAGGGCCCTTTTAAATCTATTTAAAGATTTGTGTTATCAATTTGAAATGTAAAACAGGAAGCAGAGCACCATATCCTTTTAAAAAATAAGAACAAACAGCAACAATAGAAAACAAAACCCCATCCGGATGAGGCAGTATGGTCTTTTGACTATATGGAATTGCCTATATGGAATTGGGGCCAAGCCTTTCATCCTCCAGCGGTGTTTCGATGCGTGACTGTACAGGAGTGTTTCGGCCCCAACAGGACACATCTGCTTTGCAGGCTCAAGGCTATTTGCAGAGTGTAAAAAACAGCCCTAAAGATTAGCCCTAACAAAAGCAAGAGTCCTGGCAATCAAATTAACACAGTTCTTTTTTCTGTGGAAAACTTAAACTGGCATCCATTCCAAGGACCCTTTTGACATCAGTTTTTCATTTGCTTGTGTAACCTTGCTGTATTTGCAGACAAAGGAAAGTTGGAAGTACTTTAAACATCCCATACTGCACCACACAACTTGTTTTTCTGAGTCAAATGGCACATCAGAGTGTGCGTCAGCAAGAGCCCTTTCGGAATCCTTGGAAACTTGGAGGAAGGGCAGGGTGGTGTTTGCAGTGCAACATGGGTAGCTGGGCGTGGGGACTGGCCCCTTCCCACTTGCGAAATTTTCCAGTTCTCCCTAAGTTCCACTTTCTTGAGCCATTTTTCTCTTGGTGAGCAGCCCTGACAAGAAATAATGGCTACCAGAAAAAATTGTTTGGGTACCCACAACTGCACATATCTTTACTAAATGTGGATTGTGCCAGCGGTTCTGGTACTCAAAAGTTTAAGCTGTTAAGAAAGCCTTAAAAGGAGGAGCAAAGAAACTAGTGCGTAGGGAGCAGAAAAGAGGTGCGGGGGTCGGGGGCAGAGATGGAGGAAGGGTGAAGAGGGATGTCGCATTTGTAGTGAGGTCGCATTTGTAGTGAAGGTGGCATTGCTTTGCTGTGGCCAATGTCAACTGAGAACCTGCCCACCGTGTTTGATTTCCCAGAATGCCCTTGTGCATTAGGCATTTGACAAGGTGCAAGTCTGCTTAGGGTCCCAATCAGTGGTTAGGACTAATTGGCTCACATCTGTGACATGAAAGAGACCTTGCTTGGCCATTGCAGGATCAGTTAAATTCCCCCTCAACAGATAAATATTGATAGGCTTAAATTTGTCTTTAAAGGATGGTTACGCCTATCCAAAGCATACAGGGAGGATTAAGGCAGACAGCTGACCCAGCTCGGTGGAATGCTGCCTTTCAGGTTAATAGCAAAGCAGAGTACAGTGAGAGCTTGTGCTGGGGATGATATTTATTTTTATTTTTCCTTCAGCCAAAGATGGAGACACAGCAGACTGTTAAAAGGGGTCCCATCTCGTGAGACAGAGCTAGAACCAGGCCCCCGCCTAGAAAGACCCAGGGCAACCGATAGGAGATTTACCACAATCCTGCACCTGCTTACTCGAGTGGCTCTGGACCACTTCCTCTGTGGGTTCCCCTCCCATGTTTCGCCACTGCTGCTTCAGACTGTTTTCATTTCCACAAAATAGATGCAGAGGAAGGAAAGCTAGATTGGCCGGGCGGTGCCTTCCAGTGCTGCAGCATCTCAGAACACCTGCCTTCCTGTTATATTTGGCAGGCTCACCTCTGTGCTGACAGGCAGTGATGGGGGTCACTGTCCCAGCTATCTGGAGAGTGCACTTGTGGGGAACTCTGGGGTCTGGGGCTTCATCGTGAGCCTTTGCACGTAGCTGAGACCTTGGAGCCGAGCCGTCCAACAGCTCTCCCACGGGCTTCTTCCCGGATGCAGGCGAGGTGGGGCAGCTTAGGGTGGGTGTGTTTTCTCTCAGTTTTCCATGGGCAGCCAGGCCAAGTCCTTTCTGGGGCGGGGGGGGGGGGGGGGGCTCTCCCTGTCAGCATTCCTTCCCAAAACAATGTTGTCATTTTAGGCTAGAGTTACACAAACTGGCTGAGGCCTTGATGACTGCCCCGGGGCCACAGAGAGGAGGAGATGAAAAGGGAGATGCTTCCTTTTGCAAGTGGTTGAAAGAAATGTCTCATTTCAGTTACTCGGATTAAAATATGAATTCACAGGAAATTCCTTTCTCTGCCCCCTAATACACACAATAGGAGATTCATGGTTCATTTCCCAGGTGGGGGTGGGAAAGCACCCTTTCTGAAAACCTGCAGTGAAACCCAGACCGAGTTGGTGCAACCGGACGGCCTTCCCAGACGCCATCCTCACATTCTTAATTTTTCTGTGCCCCCTGAGGTTCAGCTGGCTTTTCTCTTGCTGTGTTTGCTCACGTGGTAAAATGTTTTGAATTCCAACAGGGCTTCTCTTTGCTGGCTGGATAATTCCCTATTTTTGATTTATCTGCTCCATTTCTCTGTCTGATTGTTGTTTTTTATGGTGGGGTTGGCAGCTTTTGACTGTTTGGATGTTTTGCCCTACAGCTCCCACAATCCCTTGCCATTAACTCTGCTGGCTGTGGCTGATGGGGATTATAGGTCAAAGCAGGCAGATAAGGGCAACTGGACAATGGGTTCTGTGTAGCCTTCAGATTATCCGGTGAGCGCCCTGATTCATGTCCTCCCCCTTTCCCCAACCTTGATCTCCCACATAAAGTGACCCTGGTCCAGGGGGACATCAGTGACCTGGAGGATGTGAAAGCGGCCATGAAAGGAGTTGACGTGGTCATGCACACGGCTAGCCTGGTGGACGTTTGGGGCAGAGTCCAGCCTGAGAAAATCCAAGCTGTCAACGTGCAAGGTAAGCACTGGGGGGCATCCGAAGGACACCTAGTCAAACTCCTTGTCCCTGTAGCCGAAACCAAATTAGTCTGCTCGTTCTGACTTATGCAGTAAAACAATGTGGAGGGTTCGGGTCAGCAGGCATTTTGCACTGTTGTCTTAGCCGGAAACTGAGTTCCCTGGCCCTGATCCAGGCGGTTACCACACCGCGACACTGTCCTTGCCTCGCTTAGGTTCAGTGCAAGGGAAGAAAAGAGAGCTTAATGTTGCCATACAGAAAGCCCTGCAAAATCTTCTTAGAAGCTAGCTGCCAAGGACGAGGGCTTCTAGCACAGCCAGTTCATGCTAGTGTTCTAAGAGCAAGTGACCTATTCATAAGGACGCATTTGGTGCGATCCTGGAAGTGTAGCGTTTCGCCTGCCAGATTAGCGGGAGCTTAGTAAACCTACTAATTTTGCTCCTTTCTGTTCCACCAAGGGGAGGCCTGGATTATCCTCATCGTTTTTTACCACTTCCTAGGCATGCACAGAAATATGTAATTTGTTCGGGAGGAGAGAAACTTCTCCACAAAGCCCAATCTGCTCAATTCAGATTGCTCAACTGGGTCCACAGTTGGGAGAATTTAAAAAAAAATCTATTTTGATTTCTGTGTGTGGTTAGAAGGTGGAAAGGTTTCTTCCATGGAAAAGAGAATGGAAATGGGAACAGTTAAATAAATGTGACTAGAAAGGAAAATGTTACAATCTGGAAGTCAGTGTTGTTGTTTGTGCAAAAAAGCCTTTCCAAGAACTGGCTTAGCCCTTAAACTGGGGTGAGGAACTGTTTCTCTTTCATGGGAGCCAACCCAGCAGAATTCCCCATGGGGGGCAGATTTCTGTGGCTTCAGGCTCATGTCGTGGTACCCCATCCACTCGCCTCTCTTCTCCTCTTTCTCTCCCCGCTTTAAGATAACTGCCACACTACAATTTCACACCCCACTCACTCACTAGCATGGACGCGTGTACACACACTGTTTGCATCCACCTGCGTGCATGCATGTGTGTGTGCGTGCACACATGCACGCACACACACACACAAAATTCACTCTCCCTGATAGCTAAAATTAGCCCTTTGTTTCTCCCAGGGGGGTACCTGAGTTAAAGTAATGGCTCTCTGGCCCTGCTGTCTAGCCTGGCGCTGTCCGTGGTGGACTTGGGGAGAGGCAGATGCATTCTGTGCATGCCCAGAAAGCATCTTGCCTTCGCTCTTGCCTTGATCTCTTCTGCAGGCCGATCCCTGGCACTGCACAGGCTTGGGGGACTTGTGCTCCCAGGGTGCAGTGCTGACCCTGGCCCGGCCTCTTGAGCCCGGCTGAGAAGCAGGGCCTGGGAAGGCCACTGCCCGACGGCAAAGGACTGGCCTTGCAGGTCCGCGATTCGGGAGTGTCTGCCTGAAACCCTGCTGAGCTGCTGTGCAGGGGGCCGTCATGCAGAGGGGCTGCGACTACAAGTCCCTGCAGCCCCCGTAGGCCGTGCAGCGCCACGGAGGAGCATCTTCCTGTTGCAGCTGCCAGGAACGAGCCGCCCCGCCCTGCATTTCCTCACGTGTCTGCAGCCACATCCTCTCCCCCTGTTACCTTTGACCACTGATGGGCAGTGACGAGGGGGGGCCCTGCTTGGCCGCCCCACAGAGCTCCCGGGGGCCTCCGGCCAGAAGGCTGTGCCTGGTGGGGGCGGGCTGGACCTCTGGAGCACAGATCCCCAGGGAAGGGATGTTGCCCCCCCGCTGGAGACAGCACAGGTCCCGCTCCCGTTCCTTGTCCCAGCTGTATCGGGGCTGGCTGTTCCGGAGGGCCATGCAGGGGAGCTGCTCTTTGGGACACCCTTTTAAATTAATATGTGGACTCTTCCCCGTACGGCGACTGCCACACCCCGTGCGGAGCCACCTGCGTCACGCTTGCCCTTCCCACCGAACGGCTGCAGCGACTGCGGTCTCCCTGGGTGCCCATCATCTCCCTCTGGCCCTTTCAGAAATACGTGTTCTCTGACACATGCAGGGAAATCCCACTGCCAGTCACAGTCCAGGAATGTGGCTAATTGGCTCCGCATGGTGCATTCCGCGTCCTGATGAAAACCAGTTGGGCTGTGGCAGCAGGCGCGGCCCTGGTGCTGTGGCCGGAGCCACGTTCCTGGGACGCCCGCGTGGGAAGCCTCTGCAGCGTGCCGGCAGCCTCTCCCGAGCCTGGCACCGCTCAGATGGGAATTGTTGACAACAAGGGGCCTGGAACTGGTCAAGCTGCTTTCTCGCCTCCTTGACTTACTGCATCATGGCATAAAATCAGGGCAGCGCCCAGGGGAGGCGTGGCTGGGCAACCCCAGCCCTCGACTGAACTGCCGCCTGGCCAGCGGCTGCCAGGGCTGCTTGCCTCCCAGCTCGTGGACTGCAAGACGAGTCAGCCAAGCGACAAGGAGGAGGGGGCGAAGAGCGAGTGCAGGGGCGAGCAGTGGCGGTGGACAAGCTGACTCTTGGAGGGAGAGGCCCTAGCGCGGGCAGCTCATCCAAGGGCCCTTAGAACCTGCCGGCTTCCCTGCACAGAATGCAGCAAAAGCTGGTGGCTCTGGGTTGGTGGGGCAGTATATCCCATCCAGGTTTCAGTCTGAACTGTAAAGGAGCTTGCTCTTTGGGCATAGGTTTCAGCACGATGGCCAATTCATTTAGTGGTCAGGCTAAAACCTGGAGTGGATATACAGCCCCACTGTCCTTGGAGTCACCAAGCACTGCTGGCAGGACAGCGGAAGGGCCTCACTGGATCCTCAAGTTCTACCTGTCCTGGCCCAGTTCTGGCTCAGTGTGGGCAAGCAGCTGCTTCCAGAGAACCCTCTGTAAAGGCACAGAGGCAGCATCCGGCCCGCCCTCACAGTTGCCCACATCTGGCATTTACAGGTGTGCTGCTCCTGAAAGTGGAGGTTCCACCTAACTATCATGCCCAGTAGCCACTGACAGGCCTGTTTTGTATGTCTGCAGTCATGCTGCTCAACACACATGGGATGGCAACCCCTTGGAAGTCTTAGTGTTGCTTAGACAGCAAAATTCAAAGCAGGCTTCTAGCCCTCATTGTCGCCAAGCAGGGGTGGGAAACACGTGAGCACTTTCACCCTGGTGACCATGGGGACAGGCAGCATGTCCATGGCACGGGATTCTGCCTTTTGCAGAGCTGCTCCTCTTCCTCTTTCCTCAGCCGGTGAAGCCAGCATTCAGTCACGCCCAGCATAGACAGGACTATGCAAAAGAGCGGCTTCCTTTTTTGCAGAAACGTCCTGTTGACTGGCCCTGGGTTACCCACAGACTTCGCCGACCACAGTTCTTTTTCTGGGACCCGGCCCTGTCACAGGCTACTTGCGAGGGTGAATGGCTGACATGCCTTATGTTTGTTTTCTCTCCCTCCCTCCCTCCCTCCCTCCCTCGCTGTGGATTCGAATCAGGCACCCAGAACGTAATCGAAGCATGCGTGATGCAAGGGACACAGTACCTGGTGTACACCAGCAGCATGGAAGTGGTGGGACCCAACACAAAGGGGGACCCCTTCTTCAGGTATGTGCTCCCCCAGGCCCAGAAAGGAACTGGCGCTCGGGGCTCTTGCTGCCCTTCTGGCCTGCCTCCCTTCAGCCCCTGGAGCCGCCCAAGTTGTATCTTGCAGAGGCTTTTCAGACTCTCTCCCAAGAGCATCCATGCACGGTGGATTACTCCCTCGGAAAGGTGACTTTACCTTCTTGAAAAATCCCACCCTCCTCCAAGGGTCCCTGGGCCCTGTTTATGGATCTCCCTTCCGTTTTATCCCGGACACTAAGACCTCTGCAGGGGAGATGCTGCTGATGGAAGCAGGATTGCCCCGAGACCACCAGGGGGTTTATATGTCCAAGCCAGGATTTGAACCCAAGCCTCCTGATGCTCCTGCCATTGCGCCCTGTCGTGAGACGGCTGCCTTCCAGCTCGCCCTCTGGAGCTGCAGACTGCCTGGCGCAGTCCATGTGGAGCCACAGTAAAGCACTGCTGGACCCATAAGTGTGGGGCAGGGGGAATGCAGTGGCGTCTGTGGCAGGAGCCGCTCAGCAGGAGGAATCCCCTGGAGGCAAAAGGTCACAGGTGTAGCCAAAGCAAGGTGGATCTGCAGCTTGAACTGGGGTCGTGAGGCCCCTTGCGTAGGCTTGCGCACATCTCTCCGTCGCTCAGTCTGACCTGCACGGGACGGTCTCTCACACCTCCTGAGCTCTCTGGAGAAAGGGGCAAAGTAGGGAGCGCCTTTCAAAAGCATTGCATAATCTCCTGCCTCCCAGTTTCTGCCTCTTCTCACCTGCCGCGCAACTCTCACTGCCTTCCCAGAGGTATTTTGGATCCAGACGTTCCCTATATCCTTTATGCACATCTGGGTTCCACCTTCACATTTTAAAATACTGTTTCCCTCCTGTTGAAATTAAAATGGGATGGGCAGCTCGCAACTACAGAACTGAGCTACGCAGCAAAATATCTGTGCCCCGCCTGGCATCAGGTTGTCGGAGTTCTGCGGCGAGGACAAGCTCTCGCAGAGCAATCGCTGCAAGAGGAGGAGAGGATGCATGGTTTTATTTCTGTTCTGCCCAGTCACTGAAGCTCTCTGGGCACTTTGCCAGAGCTCATAAAAAGCTATAAAAACAAGAGTAAGATAATACAAGTCAGAATAACATATCATAGAATTGCACTACAAAAATTAAAAAACCAAATTTAGCAATGATTAGCACAAAGCGCAAGTGAGCTGGCAGGAAGCTGATGCTCCAACGTGCTACTGAGGACTGATTAAATGCTGCATCACAGAGGGCAGACTTAACGGGGCACCGAAAAGACTGTAGAGTTGGCCCCATGTGGGCCTCAATGGGAGCTGATTTCAGCAGTTGTGGGGCCACCTCTTAGAAGGCCCTGCTCCTTGTTGCCAATGGAGCCCCCAGGAGGTGGCGGAGGCAGGCCCTGGATCTTGATTGTAGTGTCTGGGTCAATTTTTGGTTGAATTACATGGAACAGAATGAGAAATCATCTGGACTGTCTGAGCTTTGCCTGAAAAGACCTGAGATCCTAGATGTAGAAGGGAAGCATGCTCAGGGCTAGACTTTGTACCTCCCTGCACTGTGGTTGGTTTTGGGGAGGGTGGGCAGTGATACCTCTTCTGGGGTGCCACTTGGTGGCACATGGAAGGCAAAGCCCTGCCGGCCAACCCAAGGCGAGCACAAGAAGAACAGAAGGTTCAGTGACATACAGAAGTGACGACTGAAGCGAAACGTTGCAGCGTGAAGCACTTCTCCCCAGGATGCCACGGGCCCTTTTCTCGCTTGTCTCATCCCCTCCCACACTCTCCGTGGACACCCAGCGCTTAGTCACTGCAGAACTCGTTAGTGGTCATTGGCTCCTTGGCTTTCGTTCATAGGAATTTTGCGTCTCGTCAAGGCCTTTCTTCCTCTTTTTCCCTTCTGGTTTGTCTACAATGAATGAATTTGCCGTTATGGTATATAAATAGGCTGGGCGGAGCAAGGCTGTATTCTCCATTCCGACAACCACCATTCTTGATACAGAGAAAAAGCCCGGTACTTTTGATAAGGCTGAATGGCTTCGGCATCGTGTGTTTCTGTCTCCTGGCATCTGGTATCCACAACAGGGAGTTTCCCCGGCAGTTGTTCCAGTCCAGCCCAAGGGCTTCCCCAAACTGTGTTGTACAACAACAGTAACCCAGGAGATGGTAGGAGAGGAATTTGTGACGGTCCAGCAACAGGCAGTGTTTTGACATCTCCAAGCTGCCCTGTCTACTCAAGCCGCTGCTCATTTGCATCTGCTAAATATGTATATGCTGCATCCGCTCACTCTCTGCAAATAGAACATTTCACTGACAAATGTTTTGGCCTGAGCTGGGGGAAAAAAGTGGAAATGTTCAGCTGTTTGTTTGGGTGTGGGGTTGAGATGTTTTTCAAAAAGGAAGATCAAGCATCCTTGTTCTCTGCTTCTCTAAGACGGGGAAATATGGAGGGGGAGCCCTTTTCACATATTCCAGTACCCCCCCCCCGGTGGCTGTGATAACCACATCAGAAAGGATCAAAGCTTGATACAATTGACCCCTCTAGAGCACTAAATCATCCCACCTGTTTTTTAGTGCCAAATTTAAACAAAATGCTCTCCCTCTGCTTTAGCTTTGTCCTTGCACCCCACCCTCTGTTGTAAAGGATGGGCCTCTTTCTTACTCATGGGGAGGAAATGATTTGGTTTTGAATTGAACTTTGCCTGTATGAAAAAGTCTGCTTAAAATGAGAAGTTTATGATTCTTAGATCAGAAGCAGGTTGCATTCAGTACGAGGGGACCAGAGTGGTGGTTGCAGAGGAAAGAGGTGACAGAGGATTAGCTTTGTAAGAGGCAACACACATCCTAGGATCTTTTGCCTTTAATAGAAATGCTTAAAGGAAAATTCCAGTAAGGACAGCATTTCCTATAACGCTTTTGCAGTAGGGAGGGGAACAAAGCGCACCAGAACTTTCTTCTACACATCCCTTAATGGTTCAGGAGCGTCATTCTATGCTGAACAGCACACAGCGCAGAAGCTGCCATGCTATCATACAGAGTGCATTAGAGTAAATTGATCCACACTGCAGTATACTGAGGTGCATTACTCACGAACTCCTAAACCTAGTTGGGAGGAGAAGGGGTGGCAGCAGGGGCTGCAGCGGTTCTCTTCTTGTGCATTGAAAGTGTTGGGTTCTGATGGGGTGTGCTGTTTTTATCCACATTGTAGGGGAAACGAAGATACCATATATGAAGCTATTCACGAGCATCCTTACCCAGTTAGCAAAGCCAAGGCTGAGCAGCTGGTAATTGAAGCAAATGGGCGACAGGTAAGTCAGACTCTTCCTTCAGGGCAAGATTGGAACGAGAGAGAATCTTGTGACGTATTCAGGTATTGCACAAGATAAACTTTGTAGAGAGTGGCACTACTTCACCACACCTGTGAAGTTAATCCCCAGCCAATTTCTCTACACCTACTAAGCAGACTTCTTGGGCCAAGGTAGCTCTTGAGCTGCTGCAGCTTTGCAACACCTAATATATATATATATATATATTTAAAACTTTCCCATTACCGAAGTCTCAGGACAGTTAAACATACAAAATGTAAAATATTTAAAGCCAAGCACAGGGGTGGCGAACCTCTGGCACGCGAGGCACCGGGGGCATGCAGAGGCTTCTCTGTCGGCATGGGAACCAAGTCACCCCAGCGGTGCCCCAGCAGCCAAGCCTAGGATGACGGCGCGCATGGGGGCCATGCGCTCGCTCAGGAAAGAGTGCAGACGCCAGGCAGTGACGTCACGAGCCACGACTCATTGGCCGCGACTCGTCTGAGGTTTCACATGGCCGATCATGGTGCACGGCCAAGGGTATATATTTTTTGCTTGGACTGGCTGTGAGTTGTTCTTCCTAAACTAAAACTTCACTTTTAAGGTTTTATTGTAGTGTTGGCACTTTGCAATAAGTAAGTGGGTTTTGCGTTGCAGTTTGGGAACTTGGTCTCTAAATGGTTCACCAACACAAGGGTGTGCACCAGGTTAGGGTTAGGGTTGGAAAAACGAGGTGTCCCAGCATGGTTCTGATGGTTGGAATGTGTTCAGAATGGGCAGGAATGATGAGCTGCGCAGAAAAAGCTACTCAAGGAGGGCTTTTTGAAAATCGCCCTCTTTTCCATGGAACTTTACCCTTACATTAGGGTTAGGGGTGTGCACCAGGTTAGGGTTAGGGTTGGAAAAACGAGGTGTCCCGGCATGGTTCTGA